CAAATTATTCAGTATATATTTTCGTATGTGCCTAAAGAGTGTCACGAAATTCGTAGCACCTACCTGAGAAAGATCCTTTAAATATCATAATATAACCGTTATTTATGACGAATATCACATTGGAACTCTCTCTACTCTTATAAATATATATATGACATATATTTTTTCTTCATTTATGACGGCAATGACATAAGTTTAAAAAAAGTTGAATAATGTGATTAACAGTAAGTAGCAATATACGAAAACATAAATCGTAACCACGTAATATCAGTAAATTTGGATTTTATTTTCTCTTAAATATTGAAAAATTCGGGAACGCAAAAAAACACGAAAGTTCAAACGAAATTCTATATCTGACAACCATACACTTATACAATATACCAGAAGTTTAGTTTCCACTGCAAAAGGCTTCGTCATAAAACTGTATTGTCCGAAGCACAAAACTCCTCCCTGCGTGCTTTCCATAGTTCATCCAGTGTACAAAGACAACTGTATCACACAGAAATCCATAGGCGCTGCATCAAGCACTTGATTGTTATATCTTCGTATGGAATAGCGTCGATAACCGATGCTTGAGATATGCGACGGTTGAACGAGAGGTATGACTTTGTGAACCTATACCCCGCTGGCCTCGTTTCCAGACTAAAATCCTTCTTTATTATCTTGAGACACGGGAAAGGTTTTTGTTACTGACTTTTGTGCTCCTGATTTCTCACTTACTACTAGACGCTGCATTTTGCTAATCACGGCTGGGGTATGAACTGTTGTAGGTTTTCTTTCTGGATGGTCCGAGTTCCACAAAGTTGATCCATATTCCATTAACTATAAGGGATTTCACCTTCTTGAAAATTCTAAATCCCCGATCTGAACCCATATTTATGATCTGAGTGTATGAATAATTTGCACTGAGAATGGCTGTTACGTATCATTTCCAATTTTCGACGGCTTCACACTACCTAAAGAACGCCAAACAAAGTCAAAATATTGTTCCACTGCGATTTAGACCGGCTGTGGTTGTCATGTGACTTACTGGTTTGTATATTCAACATCATTTTAGTATAACGTATTCAACCCTGTACAACATTGTTAATGTTTAGAACATTTATTCGAGATTATACACCTCTGAATCTACTTTTTTTTGTTTGTTTGATTGTTTTAGTGTAAAGTTAAAATAGAGCCTCGAATTATGCGTTATAATCCCAGTAAATACACTTAACTTTAATTCTGAAGTAACTAAATAATATCAGCCATTAATATCCAATGAAAGCATGTACTATCGATTTCAACATATATTAGATAGTACTTAGTTGAATATTTATTGTTATGCCTACATTTTTTTTAAGCCGCTACATGTTAAAAGGATCTTGTTTTTCATTTGTGGTTCATGTAATTAATACGACACGTTTTGTTCTTTTGTTACTGAAAACATTTATCCATGTAAAAAAGGATATTACAAGTATTTTTTTATTTACCTGACAGCGTTAGAACCTTTGTCCCTTGGTGATGATACTGCTTACCTGGAGTTCATACCTTTAGAAAAACTGCGCAGGACGTCACTCATTACCGGATCATATTATCACGTACAACAGTGGAAAAGATCTGCTTTAGGTTTTCGGCCCCCTGGCACAAAAACTGTTGCATTTTCTTTTCGTACCAAATCAAAAAATGGACTTTTGGTACATGCTGCGACAAAAGACGAAGGGTTTACAGTTTTACAGGTATGGTGTTTTAAAACTTAAGAAAATTAGAACATGCTATTGAAATGTTTTTGTATACAACTTTCCTTGGCAGTTATCACTTGGTTGTGAGGGAGAAAATCTGACTCAGAAGAGTTCAGCAAGCTAATATCTTAATACTGAACTAATGAGAATAAGGAACGTAAAATTATTTCTAAGTTAAAAAAAAAGAACATTTACATATTCCATAAAATCATTTAGTAAAATATTGTTTTGTTTTTAGAAAATTTTAAGAAATAAAGTTATTTAGTAATTCCATCACAGCAACACATGCTGGTTAATAACAAACTGTGATAATCGGTTGCTTTGACAGTTGATCCATATTTTAGTACGTTATGCTCATGAGAAACATAAATAAAATCTTTCGGAGGTTTTAAAATACGTCCCCTAAATATCCTCGGCCCCCCAGTGGTACAGCGGTATGTCTGCGGACTTACAACGCTAGAAACCGGGTTTCGATACCCGTGGTGGGCAGAGCACAGATAGCCCATTGTGTAACTTTGTGCTTAACTTAAAACCAAAAAGAATATCCTCAATGATCAAAGAAATCTCACTAGTAAATCTATTTGAATTATATTTATAACAAAATACAATGTATTTGATAAATATGAATAATGTCATCTACATTTCCTGGTATATGTAGTTCTCAAACTCACTGATAGTTTTCTTAAAATACCCACTTTGGTTCCAATGATACTCTATTTTATCTGAAAGTATGGTTTGTTTTATTAACACACACACACACACACATAATGAAGAAGCTCTAATTTTTATTTTTGGAAATATATAGAATTTTTGAACTATTGATTTCGTATGTGTATTTATCAAATCTATATATCACAGCTACCAGAGTGAATAAAGGCATGTTAAAATGTATAAACTCTTACTCAATACATGTCACAGATATAATTGAATCAGGCGTTACTTTACAATCGCTATAAAAGGTAATAAGTAAAATCCAGCCCCTTCTGATAAAGGTAAATAAGATGTTATAATTTTTATTTCAATCAGAGTAGTATTAAGTTTTTTCTATTTTACCTATTTATTTTTCACCTTTTACTTTTAATACACACTCCAGTGTGCAATAAATCACATTTTTGTTTTCCATAGCTGAGGAATGGTTACGTGGAATACAAGTCCCACCAGAAGATTGGAAAGCCTGTCAACTTATTACTAGATACGATTAATGCTGCAGACGGCCAATGGCATGCAGTCAGTCTGACCATAATCAGTAACAGCGCCAGTAGCATCAACGTGTCTGTTGACCAGGAACTTACATGGGTAGATTTGGAGTATAAAGTGCACGATCTTTTGGATCCTTACCTAACTGTTATGACGATTGGAAAACATTCGGACCAGGAGACAAATCTTGTAACAGGTAGTCAGAGTTTTAGAAGAAATCATTATTTTTTTTTACTAATTAATTTTTTTGAATCATCATTTACTGAAACGCAACTTATTTATAATAGGTTGACACTGCTACAAATAATCAAAGTCTTAAACAATAAGAGAAATATACGTACATAAACGCTTTATTAAAAATATCATAATTATGCTTTGTATAATAACTGTAAAAAATATTTTCTGTAGTCAACACTTGACATCCAAAGGTTTATTTGCTTCCAGTTCTGTTTTAGAAATGTAACTGAATAATGAAAATATGTTATTCAAGATCTACTCTGTAATTATTGGAATTACAGACAACTAGTCAATAAAACCTCTTTTTTTTGAAAGAACACTTTTAAATACTTAATTTTAATTGAACTGTTTATAAGACGTTTGAAAGTAGAAAGCCGCGACGTTACCTGCATTTTAATTTTTTTTATTATTTTTCTTATATTATTATTATTCAGGTTTTCAAGGGTGTATAACTCCTCTAATTGTTAATGGAGAAGTCCAGAGCTGGAATACATCCAGTAGTTATTTCAAAGTGATACCACATGGAAACGTCTACCGAGGATGTTCGGACGAAGTTCTCGGCCTTGATGTCGCTCCTACCGATCCTCTAAGTATAGGTGTTATATTAGTGATTGTCTTTTTTGTCATTCTCATTGTAATTATCTTAGTCAGTTTTCTAGTCTTCAGAAGAAGAAAGCTTTGCCGATATAAAAGTCATGGCCATATCAAACAAAATGGAAATCTGTTCTTGACGCCAACAAGTAGTGACAACCAGCGTGCACATCAAGATTCCAACTACAACGAGAATTTAGGAATTGAAGATGTTATAAGAAATCACATGACCCAAGATTTAGTACCAAAGAAGATGAAAGATCGAGAACTTCCAACAGAACGATGTCAACGACCAGACATTATAGAAAGAGAAGTAATCAAAACATCACCAGCATTGCCTCCTCAAAGCTCGGAAAATAAATCCCATCAGGACAATCCTAAGCCTTCTAATGGGTTCGGAATGGGTAACATTCCCGATTCGGAACTACCAGAACATTATGACCTAGAAAATGCTAGTAGCATTGCCCCATCAGACATCGATATAGTGTATCATTACAAAGGATATCGCGATGGTAATGTTAGAAAGTACAAAACTAATTCTCATATACCAAACTATCATAAGCATAATCATAGACATAGTCCTCATCAGTTCCAGCCTAGTCCTATAAGGGAAAGTCCCCGTAATGTTTTACACCAGAATTCAAATTCTGTTTCTCTAAAAGAAAGTCCATCACCATTGAAAATGCAGAATACTCCATTAGCACGGTTAAGTCCTTCTAGTGAACTGTCCCAACAAACACCTCGCATTCTGACTCTGCAAGATATAAGTGGAAAACCTTTACAAACAGCGTTACTTGCAACATCCCAAGGAGTGGGTCCAGAAGGCTTTAAGGACCAAATGACAAATTCTGAACGAAGCCTAAATAGTCCTGTTGGAAATCTCAGTCATAGTACAGGTAGCCTTCACTCTCGCCCCCAGTCAGGAAAAAAGAAAAAAATAAGGGACAGTGGAATGTCTTTAGGTTTAACGGCTGAAGAAATTGAGCGATTAAATGCACGCCCGAGAAATTCAAGTCTCGTCAGTACGTTAGATGCAGTTTCTTTGTGTAGTGATGATAATCCAGAGAAAAATAAGCTTGCAGAACTTTTAGAGATAAATACGGAAATTTTTGAGCCCCCAGATTCTTCTACAGATGAGAGTGGAAACGATTCTTTTACGTGTTCTGAGTTTGAGTATGATAATAATTACGAGAAGGCCCACAGGGATTTTGGGCGTAGCAATATGATATTTTCCAAGCTAGCCGAGGAAGACAATGAAAACGATGAAGACTCAGCCAAAACATACGATGGGTTTGACTCAATTAGAGGATCTCTTAGCACTCTTGTATCCTCTGACGACGATATTTCTAATGTGTCTTTATACAAACCAACCAATGGATCTGTATTAGGCTGGGATTACCTTCTGAATTGGGGTCCAAACTTTCAAAATCTAGTAGGAGTGTTTAAAGACATTTCAGAATTGCCTGATACAGATCATTCGGCTATGGGTCATACGAAGCCAAATGAAGAATACGTCTGACCTTGTGTATTTAGCTATGTGAACCTGAAATTACAGTTTCAGTGCTTTAAAGGGATATTTTACATACAATAATAATAAAGGAATCCGATGAAATTATAAGCAAAAGGTTGTATATAATGGCCTATGTCTTATGTTTAAAATTTTATATACCATGATCAACAGCAAAGGGACAATACTCACCGTGATTTTTCGGTGAATTATTATTTTGTTAATTTCGTAACTCAAAAAAAAAAAAAACATCTTATAAAATAAAGACCATGTACCTCAACGTTCAATCCTAGTCAGAAAAGTACACTTGGAAACTTGTGTTGTTGTTGTTGTTTAGACTTCGGTTCCATGTTGAAACTGTATCGTTTTCTCTTTGTCTTTAATTGTGTTCGCATTTGTAATACCAAACTTGCCACTTACGTTACACGTATAAAAACTCAGTCGTTTCAAGGTTTTAAAACCTTTAACTTCTAGTACCATACTTGCTTACCTAACCATCCCATAAACAGTGATGCAGTGTTACTTGTTTTATTATATTTGATATATTTTGTGTTTAATGAAATACCCTCACGCACATCAGCAATTTAAATGTTCAAACCGTAAACAAACATTTTGTACTTTCTTTGCCTATTTGATTATATATTATATACTCATGGACATTTTATGGATTCAGTTACTATATTCTTATTTAAAATGTCGTGTCTATTTTTCATGAATAATCTCTAAGAAAATGTAACTTTCGATAACTTTATACACTAAGTATGACTCCTTCAAATGCATTATTATACATATGAAATATTGAAACTCTTTATAGGCTTTTGGTATTTCTTTTTGCAAAAAAAATCCTAAAGCAGTGTTTCATGAAGAAAACTGAACTAAAATATTTTGTTAATAATCTGTCGTGATAAGGATTGGATAAACGTGAAATGTTTTGTACAAACAAATTGAATGTTAATGGTTTAATGACAATATTTTATAAAGAGCGCTTTTGAAACCTATTTTTGTAACACTGTTAGTTTGTAAACACATTTGTTATGAGGATAATTGTTATATGTCCTTTTTCTTGTTGACACACAGTGCCAATAAATGTGCAGTTTTTCTTCTGTCCACTTTAGTTGTTTAGTTTTATTGGTATAAAGTTAATATTAAATAATTTTCGAGTTTTAATGGTTTATTTATTGTCAAGCGCAAATCCACACAATGGACTCTTTGTGTTCTGCCCATTGAGGGTATTGAAGCCCGATTTTTAGCGTTATAAGTCCTCATGCTTACCGTTTCGCCACTAAGGGAGGGGGAGTCGTTTTTATGGTTATTACTAGTTTAACCTACCCCTTCCGGTGGCAGAGCGGAAAGTCTGAGGGATTATAATACGAAAAATCAGGTTTCGATACCTGTGTTTGGCAGATCACAAACAGCTCCTTGTGTTGAAACAACCTAATGATTGTCAGGTGTAAGTATAAAGTTATAACCAGAAAAGAAACCATATAACCCCGAGCACATTCGAAAATTACACTTCCTTTCATCAAGAGTAAATGGCAAATGATCGTTGTCAGCATGCTGAGCAGTTATGTAATCATTATACTGGAAGTGAGACATCGAGCATTTCTAAGAATATGAACTAAGTTGTGAAATAGCTATGTGGAGCTGGAATTACAGTTTCAATGCTTTAAAGGGATATTTTCTGTAAGGCTTATGACCTAAGGTGTGGAATAGCATTGCATGTGTCTGTGTGTGTATATGTGACACTTAAGTGATTGGAAATGAAGAGAATGGGTAGTTTAGAAAAAAAAAGCTTATGTGTTTGTGCAGAAAAGCAATGTTCAGAATAAGTGGGAGATATATCAACAAAAAACATTTAATGATACTGAAACTGGAAGAGTGAAATTTTGGTAGGAGATATAATAAATTATATCCAATCATGATATACATATGAATCAGAACATGAAAAAAATACATGTTAAATATAATATATAATACAGATATAACAAGAATTTAGATTAAAATAAAATATGCAACGATAAATAAATTCGTTTTAAAACAGGTTTTTCCACAAAGACTTTAAGCTAAAGGTTTATCCTATACTGAACCAGGAATCTCTTGAGTAATATTTGAGTAAAGGAACACATTACGCTAATATAATAATATAATATATAATAATAATATAATCATCTCTCTTTCAGCTTTAAAGTTAAACCCTGATTTAATATCAGTAAAAGACATGTCTTTGGTGGACAAGAAGGTATTTTTTTTTAAGTCATGACAGAGAATTAACAGTTATTAAACCGTTCTGTAAGAGTAGTTTGGGTTTTTCTACAAACTAATAGTTAATTTTTTTTTGGCCATTTGGATTTTTGATATATGTTGTGAGTTTGAGAAAAAATTTATTTTGTTGTGCTGTTGTTTTTGTTTTCATTTTGGCCGGTGAAAGTACTGATGGTTTTATGAACTTACAAATGTTACATATTACAAGGGAAACAGTCATTATTGACACGGTATAATGAACTTTTGCATGAACAAAGATAACTCTAAGGCTTTTGTTTTTTCGGAAGGGAACAACAAGGAGATGTAGAAGATGAAAATGTTTTTTTTAAGGATTCGTAAAGGATTTTTGAGTTTAGAAACCTGTTAGACTGCTTGAAGTGAGATTGATTACAAACAACAACACGTGACATTTTGTCAGTTTTTTCATGTGAAGGGCTTAACTGTAAGTAATGTTTCGTTTGATGTGGGCTGGACAATTCTGGTTGTGGAAACATTGAAGTCTTTGTTTGTTTGTCGTTAAGAACAAAGCTACACAATGGGCTATCTGGGCTCTGCTTACCACGAATATCGAATCCAGGTTTCCACAGATATACTGCAGTACCACTGGTGGGCATATTGAGATTTGCTAGTGAGTTGTCTGCACAAGTAACTATGTAAAAAGCCATCTTTTAGGGATACAATATTATCCAAAAAATGTTGTTATGTCGAAAAATAATCAAGGGTGAAAAAATATGAAAAAAGTTTTGGATGTTAACGGTCCAAATGAAAAATATATCATCAATGTTTTTTGGGTTTTTTTCCAGGGGTGTGGTTTGACGTAACTTTTCTCTAAAATTTGTCTCTCAATCGTACTCATAAAGACGTCTGTATCTTTCAGGTTCATTTTAGTGGCCATACCAATACCGTTAATTTAAATATAGTGTTCATTGTTGCATACAAAATTACTTAGGGTCAGAACAAGTGTTGCTAAATCAATTAATTAATTTAAATCAGGGTTGTTGAAAACATTTAAGAAAGTTTTTAGAGATTCTATGCCGTCTAAATGAATCTTTACAAAATATTCCATCCTCTACAGCTCAGTAAACTTCCAACCAATATTCCCTAAAATTCCTGTTGTTTCTATCCGAAAGGAACAAAATCCTTAAATATATCTTTCTAACGCAAACATCTATTATACCGCATATCAGAGTGGCTGTTCCCCCTTTAACAAAGTTTGATTGTAGACTTCTAAGTTAAAAACCACCACTGATAAAAAAACTGAAACTCAAAATACGATATATCTCATACAATACGGAAAAGGCTACATTTACCATATTGGACAAACCCAGACTACTTGGTTAAATAAAATAATCTGTCACGACTAAATAAAAATGTGAGACCTTCCTGTTGTCTTACATTTTAACCAGTTTGGCCACTCCATTGATGACATCGTTCTCATTGGTATTGAAACAGGGTTTAAAATCAATAAGCGCCGATAAAAAATAAAAAAGAGGCCAACGGGATCAGTACTTGAAACACTGTCACCCCATGTGTTATGAAATTTTATCCTGGTATTAGTTATATTCGTCCTTTAACAGGAGGGTATTTATGGAAAAATCTTAAAATAGTCCGTTTTAAAACGAAATTCTTTATTATTGCATTAATAATGTTTTAACGCTTACTACTTAAAATTTCTTTTGTCTCTGTATTATAATTATCTAATATCTATTATTTTAATGATCTGATATATTGAATTTCATATCTTATAAGACCATCTTACTGATGCACGAGGTCTTTTAAATTGTGATTATAATTAATTAATAATGATAAATAATTGGTGTTAAAATAAATAAATTATATTTGTTATTAATCCGTACCCTAATTCTTTTTTGTATGACTCATCTAAAATTCACCAATTTAACCTAGTACACGGCTATAATAATTTTTGATTATGTAATTTGATAATATAAATATCGTTTCAAGCACTATTGTGTCTCTTGTATTCCATGTAATATAAATATCGTTTCAAGCACTACTGTGTCTGTTATATTCCATGTTATATAAATATCGTTTCAAGCACTACTGTGTCTGTTATATTCCATGTAATATAAATATCGTTTCAAGCACTACTGTGTCTGTTATATTCCAGCAGACCTGGTATTGGGCCTCGTCAAATTATATTTCTTATCAATATTCCATTCTTCCAGTTTTTATTTCATGAAGTGCTTTTATTAATAATTTTCCCATTTGTTTTTGTTTTTTTCTGGAAATTACCTCTTGCATAAGCACGCATTCTTCTAATCCGTCTAACCACTCTTTCTCTTCGTTTCCCACCTCGTACACATCACACACTCGCAAAGCATGACGTCTCAATTTCGGTACAACGGCTACATAACTGATCAACGTACTTACAATGGTCATTTGCCATTTACTCCCGAAAGTCCACTTTCTCAAAGTGCTCGAGTTATTGGTTTTTTTTTTTCTGATCTTAATTTTTATTACTGATATGCATAATAGAATCTAAACATAAGAAACATAATCCACTTACAAACTTCATGTGCTGAATTGTTAAGAGGATATAATTTTAACAAAAAACTATTGGTCGATGTTTTCACGTGGAAGATTTTTTAATCTAATGTATGCCAAATAGTTATATTCCAGTAATAAGCTACTAATAGAACTCATTAAAAATTATCATACTTTTATGATTATTGTTAATAAAGCTCGCGAACATTTGCGAGTACGACTTCACGTTTGAGCAATTTCTGTGTTTTCGAAATGTTCGCAGTGATGAAACATACTTACATTTAAGTCGTCATAGTAACTCTTTAGTAAACTGTTTCATGGAACACATAAAAGCACGAAAAAGATTTAAGCTACTAAACTTTCGTTTTGCGCATGAAATATTTTAACGAAACTCTGAATGCGGATCATATAGCATTTTGAACATAAACCCATCGAACATTCCCTTTCTTAAAATGCTAATAACGTGAAATTACATATCTCCTATGATAAATATTTAAGTTAATTCTTTTCGATAACCATCAGGTGTTTTACTCGCTCAAGAGTATATATATATATAGTAGAAGAATCACAGGATAGGTCTAAATTGGCCAATTCAATAATTATTTGATATTTTAAAGTTGTTGTTTTTTGCATGAAGTTTCGTGGTGTTCTTTTCCTGTAAAATTGTATACGCAGAAGATCACAGTAAAAATCTAGAACTCCCAATTCTAGATAGTTTTAATGAGCACCCCCCAGTAAAATTTCGCATGAGACTGTAACAAAACATATTAGCGATGTAAATAGTTCTGGTAAATAGATTATCAGCTAGTTTCTAAAGCTGAAAATGATTAAATGTAACTGAAATTTTGAGATAAAAAGGGTGTAAATTAGTAACTGAAATTTTGAGATAAAAAGGGTGTAAATTAAAAATTAGTCGTTCTAATATGATTCGCCTTTTAAAATAGTTTAAGCTTTATCCTTAACCCGAGGGTCCAAGATACAAAAACTATTACTGAAATATTCAGATAACTATATACTTTCAGAACTAAATAAGATTTTATTTTGTTATACCAACAATGTTAGCGAGCGACATAAGATTTAAAATTATGAAGGTATTCATTAGAATTTAGATATTAAAAAGTGTAAAATAACTAAAAATTGAAAAAAGGAAAGTTAATTTGTACATGTACACATGTTTCAACATTTCACCAGAGTTTATCCAGGATCACAAGGATGTGATGAAGAAGGGTTAAGTCTGGTGAAACACTGAAACGTGTTTGTGTGTGTAATTTCCTTTTGTCCCATCTTTAGCTGTTTTATACCTCTTTATAACATTAATGAACATTAAGTCTTAATAAGTCGGTTAACAGAAAGTCTGTTTTTTGAAACTAAGTATGATCAATATCTTTCAGTCTTTTAAAGTAAGTTTCCAGACTTACAGCGCTAAAATCCGGGGTTCGATTCCTTGCAGTGGACACAGTGTAGATAGCCCATTGTGTAGCATTTGTGCTAAAACAACAACTAACCATAAAAACTTCGAAGTTACTGGTAAAATTTATATCAAATATATGAAAATGGTTTATACTTTTAAATAAAAACGAAATATTTATAAGTTTTGTCACGATGTCCCTCAAAAGCACTAGAAGTTAGCCCATCGGTATTACTTGAACATGTATATATTTTGAGTGATTAGAGTGTGCTTAAAACAAAAACTGTGAGGAGTCTCATTGCTATGATTATGTTTTTATTTTAATATTACATTTTATCCTTATAATTAACCTTTAAAATCAAGAGTTAATTCGTAATTTGATACACACTATTCTATGCCAAATAATTTATTTGCACGAGGTTTCATACTCGTTTTTTATAGAAGATGTAAAATAAATCTGTTTCATGGTTTTTTCTGCTTGACATACAGATGGAAGTATAGCAAAAATATATTAAAATCGATCTGATATTTAGGATCCAAGTTTTCTCCTTTGGACATATTCAGTGCTTCAAAAATTCACATACCAACATTAAACAAAAGCTGAGCGTTCAATAACCAAAATTGTGTCTTTTGTGGTCAATGAGTGATCGAAACTGGTTGGTTTGTTTTGAATTTTGCACAAAGCTACACGAGGATTATCTGCGCTAGCCGTCCCTAATTTAGCAGTGTAAGACTAGAGGGAAGGCAGCTGGTCATCACCACCCACCACCTTCTCTTGGGCTACTCTTTTACCAACGAATTATTGGATTGATCGTCACATTATAACGCCCCCACGGCTGAAAAAGCGAGCATGTTTGGTGGGACGGGGAGTCGGACCCGCGACCCTCAGACTGCGAGTCAAGCACCCCTAACCACCAGGCTATGCCAGGCCCTGATCGAAACTATAACCACAGAAATGATTTGCTCAGGTGAAAAAAGCTGAAACAAAGTCATCAATATGAATATATTCCAACCAAAGTTTTATAGGACAAGAACATTTTACCGTAATTAAAACAGGTTAACATACTTTAGGGATACCAAAAGTTTACTCGGACCTTTAAATATATTATATATAAAAATCGTAAATAAAATTTAAACCCGCTTACCTACCAATCACAGTAAAAATCGATTTGTGATGAGAAACATTAGTGTGCAAAATCCTTTAAAGTAAGATATTAGGGCAGGATTCCTCTAAATAAACTTTTTTTTTTCAACAATAAAGCCAAGAAAGAAAATGAAGAGAAGTATGATTCCGGAAATAGCAAGTATTGCAAAATTCTTATTTTTTGGCATTTTAAAAATATAAATTACAACTTTTATAACTTATTACAAATACGTTGAAAACTGCAATTGAAACGTGATTAGTAGAAGTAATGAGTTCTAAATAAGAATAGCTTCTCAAGGATAACACGGTGTTTGGATGTTTTAATTCTCAATAATTCAATTGATTCAAAATTAATTGCGCAGTTTTTTCTTAAACATCACGTTCCAATTTTTTTACTTTACTTATATGTAAGTGTTTTAACAATTTAGTTCACGGTGCTATATAGAAGTAGCTAGGATAAAATTATTTTATTACATCAAAGAGTTAGTAATAATCTAATCACCATTGTTTTAAATATATTGACTAAGTACTACATGAAAATAGGCTTCAGTTTACAAAATCATCTACACAAAATTCAAAGAGCTATTTACCCTCAGTGCCTTTTAAGATAGAATTAGAAATTACAGTAAATTATCACAAATCTAAGTGTCGTAGCTGTTGATAAATATTTTGAACTACCAAAATAGACAATTTTGGCGCTTTTAGGTATTATTTTTTATTTTAGAATGTAGACGTAATTTTATGAAATGGTACCGCATTACAGGAAAATCATCAGCTAATATTTACTAGGGTTAAAGCAAAGAAACGCGTTTGTTACGAACTTTCCCACTTTCAACTTGCCCTTGGTTTTCTCTTAATCCATGTTCTCAAGGCACACAAAATACAGATTGAACCTGTAAACTGTATTCAGGAAAATCACAATAGAAAAAAACAGAAAGAGAAAAAAAAACAGAAAAGCACTGAGTCAGCACGTTTTCATCTACCATTCATTACATCCGGATCGTGTGTTGTCAGTTAATGGGAATGTAGCATAATCAGTTGATTCTAGTGGGGAATGTGTGTGTAGGCTTCTCCTCTTGCACCAGATCAACAACAGAGTTTGAAATTAAGATTTGTTTTGGCACCAAAGAGCTCGCCTATAAGGATCCAATGTGGCTTCGAGTTTCTTTCCAAAACTGTAAATTCGGCCTCATCAAAGAGTAAGGAATAAACTTTCTCTTCATCATTCTTAATTTTCAGATAATTCAATTGCTATTGGTAATGCTGCATATTCCGAACTAACTGCTCATTAACTGACAACACCTGTTCTCAGAGGCCGGGGATTCTACAAGCCTGGTTCATGTCCAAAACATGAGCCAGGCAAACACTGGTCTTGACGCGTACATGACGTCACTTTCCAGAAATCGCAAACATTTCACCTGCCCTTGTCAGCTTCCTCTTCCCTCTCGTATATTCTTGATTTGGATTTCTTCTTGTACTTGCCCAACAATTCGGGAAGGTCATAGGCAATAGAAATGTCCAGCTTGTCCAGTGGGCAGCCCATAAAGTAACTGCATGTGGAAGCCAAGGGTTTGAACTCGTACAGGGCGTGTAAACGGAAGAAGTCGCGGTAAACAAGGGGATCGGGAAGGTCGTACCGGCTGATGTTCGTTAAACTGCTGAGGCCTTCATAGATGTTATATTGGTTAGGGTGCTCAGTGATGTCATCCGCTACCGTCTTCTTGTTGCTGAAGATGCCCTTGTGTTTATAGTAGGTTGCTAAATAACAGTCAACCATCTTAGCGTGGTTCCGCACCCGCACGGCGTGACGACGGGCGAAAGAAATCCTATTTTCCACTCTCTTGTCGACTATTTCTCTGAGGTCATTTAGCAATGCCTTTTCCTGATCCATTAAGAAGTTTGCAGAAGTTCCTGAGTGGAAGGGTTTGCTCATCAAAGAGACGGCATAAATGACAGGTGCTTCCGAGCTGCCCATCAAAGGAGAAAGGTTCCAGAAAAGCTGCCCTACTACCTTCATCAATTCACTGGGCCGGATAGTATCAGCCTTGTTCAAAATGAATCGAATCTGGGCCTCTCTTCCCTTCAATTGGTCTAATATGGATTCCATCTCACTACCAATCTCCAACTTGAATGGGTCGAACACAACGTAGATCGCGTCGGCATGATCAATGAACCACTGGAAAACTTCGTTAAATGGGTATCCTCTGTTCTGATGTCTTCGGTTTTCGTTAATCCCAGGAGTGTCAAGCAGTGTCACCTGTCGAAAAGAAGGAAAGATGAATCTTCAAAAGATATGATAGTTTTAGTTAATCAATTTTTTTATCGTAAAGTTGCTAAAAACTTTCTGAGTTCTTAGAGGTTTTTATTTCCTAGCCGCCAGATAATATTTTACTTTCTCACACGGTTTAACCTAAGTTGAGAAAAAAATGTCGTGTTTATAATACAATAATTATCCTCTATTATTCATTAAGAGTAGCATTAGTAAGTAACATTAGAATTATCTGAAGCTTGAAAATAAAGATGGAGACAGAATTAAACATTTTGTTCAAATTGAGTGTAGCATAGTGTTGCCAAATATTAAAAAAATATATTCTAGTTTAGCTTGTACATAAGTTATATTTATTTAATGTGTTTCGTGGCAACGTGAAATATTTGAAGACACATTGTTTGGTTGTTCCAAAAGTTTGTTTATCTTACTGTATATCTAAATAAAATTACCTTTTTCAAAAGAGGGTGATTCAATCGGAAACCTTTGAAATGATCCAAGAAAAACTGGCCAAATTTTTGGACGCTAGCGTACGACCAATCGGCAGCTAATTCCGTGCCGCTTAGTTTTTGAGGTTCGTTCCCATATGTGATGACAGTAAAATCTGTGTCTGTAGGCTCAGGTGCTGAAAGTGTCCAAGTAATTAGATGCTGGAATATTCGAAATGGTTAGATCACAAAATACTAGATAAGTACTTAATGGGACAAATTAGATTATATAAATCCAGGAGCATTTTAAAAATTGGCTACAACACTGCAGCATATATATCTTAAATAGGGTCCAAATATGGCTATTTATTGTTTAATTATTTTCAGAAAATTAAATGTCAGTTTAAGGTAGAACTTTTAGGTTCAATGTCTCGATGGCAATCCAGCTAGGAATGCAATTGGCACTTGAGATTAAATATATATATATACATACACTTAATTAATATGTTTAGTGACAAAATAAAATAACTGGAAAAACACTTAAAATTGTATATGTAAGTCCACCAATTCTTTGGAGTGGATACTTTGGGAAAACTGTACTATTTGTCATACATAGTAAAACATATGAAATTGTGACGTGTAAAGCTTAGATCCTATAGTATATAGGCGAACAAGAACATATATAGTTTAGATTTTGTTTTGATCACCTGAACGATGCGTTGTACAAATAATGGGTTAAACATTCAGCACATAAGTCCCCTGTAGTTCAGGTATAGCCAGCCGTCTATACTTTTGACCTGAATACCATAGGAAACAAAAGCAATCGGTGGTATCCACTATCTGAAGTAACTACTGTTAACTGAATACGGATGTGATTGTTTCAAACCACCAGATCACCAGTCCGATATATTAACCATTAGGCTACGCTCATACGTTTTATTTAGGAAAAAATTGTGAGAAGTATTTGTTTGTTCTTTTATTAGTGTAAGAAATGCATAGAATTGGACGTATATTGAAAGCAAATCGTACAAAATCTATTATTACGCATAAGAAAACAAATATTAATAAGAAATATTCTTTGCGTAATCTTTGTTTTTTGAATAATAAAAGGACATAGGTATAACATAGGGATAAAACAAGAAGTGCGTTTATATCATTATCGTATATATGTAGTTCACTGGAAACGAATAGAACAATAAACGACACTTAAATATTTAAATATGTTTGCTACGCTATTACAATACCTTCTTTTCTAGCCGCTGGGGTTCTTTCGATTCCAAGAAGGTAGTTAATTATGCTGCTCTTTCCAGAGCTCCATGGGCCCAGAAACAACACTTGAGGCGTTGAGTAAATTTCAGCATCTGTAAAAACAAATTTTTTCGATGAGTTATAAAATTTTTTTTAGTAAAATTTTTAAAGAGATTTCTAAAATTTATTTTTCTTCTATTTTCATGTATCTCAAGCTCCTAGTTAATTGACATTTATACGTTGTTTTCTTCTGTTTGATATCAGTTGCATACATTGGGAACCCTACTTTTGTATTATTAAACTTGATGTTTTTATATAAGCCTAAAATATACCATCATTAAAATAAACACTTTATGAGAAATGAAACATTTTGACAGTAGAAATGAAATATATATTAAGAATGCAAGTTTTGTTCAAATACGAAAAGAAGAAACTACGTAGATTCTGGACATACTGTTTATTAAGAATTACCGCTTACAGTTTTCTTTAAATTCTACTCTATACGTCACGTTCCTGATTACGTTAGGTTTGTTTGTTTCTTTTTGTTTGAGAGCAAAGCTACACAATGGGCTATCTGCAAAGTGCCCAGCACAGAGACTGAACCTCGAATTTTAGCGTTATAAGCGTAAGGCATTAGGAACAAAATGTAATTTTTAATTCTTAAAGAATGGGTTTAACAAAGCATTCACGCCGTTAATATAAAATTGATGTCGCATTATTCGATTAAAGTAGCCCAAGAGGTGGTGATTGGTGCTGTTAATTAGCTACATTTCCTCTAGTCTATCAGTTGAAAATTAGGAACGGCTAACTATGGAGAGCTCTTTGCGTAGCTTTGCGTGAAAAACGCTGAACAAATAACCTTTGTCTCCTATAAAAGTAAGAAAAAAACAACAACAAGAAGTATAAACACAAAAGTAAAAATAACGCACCACCCAATTGTCTTGTGGTTATCTCCTTGTATTTATAGATATTTTCCAGAGGTTTGATAGCCGAATTGTACATCTTTTTCAGTTCATTAAGAATGTTCTGAATTAATTCTTGTTCTTCTTTGTCTGCTTTTGTTCCAATTTCGTCCACTCCTAAGATCTCATCGATGTGTACTCTTGAACGCGATAGAGTTCTTTTGGGATTAAATACTTCTTCTTCGTCGTCATCATCGATTTCATCCTCATCTTTCTTAGCTAGCATCTCTTCATCATCTTGTTCCTCCGTTTCTTCGTCTTTTTGTGGTGTGATCTCGGTCTGTTCTGATGAAGAGACTCCTGATAATAATTCCTGTTCTATATCAGTTGCACCCTCGAAGGTTGCATCTTTAGCATTCTGAGGAAAAATGAGTTTTTCTTTAATATTAAACTCATAATGACAACATATCTATCTATCTATATATATATATATATATTAAACTCTATGGATAAATCACATTTGTGTGTCTCTGTACTGGTAATGTAACGTTATATTTTGATGAAATATATCGTAATAGATGCGCTAGTACAAACGAATATTTTTAGTTGTGCATAACTTTTACCATTTATACTCAGTGAAACACTTTCAGACTTGACTTAATATATGCTAACTTATGTATTCAGCTCTTAAATAGAAGTATGCTCATTTACGAACTACAAGAATTGCTTGTATCCATTTTTGTAAATTAGACTTTATGTCACTAATGTTGTTATTTTTTTCAATGCTATAAATTTTACTCTTTTGAAACAGACTTCAAGAAATGCAAATTACTATTGGTTTATTATGAACAACATAAAGCTTCTGACACTATAATTATACAAAGATGTGTTATAGATGCTGAACCTTGTGCGATATTTTTGGATTTACAGACGAAAATATCGTTAAGAGCGAAGATACCCAACTGATGAGCCGATGCGTTCTAATCTTTATAAGTAAGAACGTAAAAAAATATTTTAAATTAGCTATACTCATTATCAATACTAGGTTATTTTTAGCCCCACTTTAAACAGGGAGTTTGTTCTGATTGGAAGTTAATAATAGTGTGTAACACGTTTATTGTATTACTGCTCTCGAACTAACGGTATTCACACGCTCGTTTATACTTAACGCACACCTAAGGGAATGACATAATATTTGAATTGGATAGCTGAAACTTCAATAATTTCGTTTATTTAGTTTCTAATGCTGTAAGATTTAATCTTCTAAGAATTCGTTTAAATTATATCTTATGCATTCTTATAATCTTAACTAAACGATAATTTACCCTAAAATAGCATAGTACACATCTACTTATAGTACGTTTCCAAAAGTAACTATCATCATTTCATATAAAAATACGTGATGTATAGCCAAAATCAATTGTCACAGTTTTGTGTTTTGTAGCATCTTCCATATAAAAAACTATATTCTGTTTTATGCTTACAATCACAGAGATTAACATATACCTCATCTTTTGTGCCCTCTTCTGTTATCACAGTTTCTTGAGGTATGTCTATTTCTGACTCGTCTGGCCTTGAATCTTCGACCTGATTTTCTTCTGAAGCTATTTCGTCTTCAGCATCAGTTAATGCACCCTGATCTACTGTCGTTTTAATTATAGCATCTTCCGCTTCAACTTTATTTTCTTCAATTCCACCTGATTTCTTATCTCTGAACTTATCTCCTTCTTCTTCTTTTTCAACTATTTCTTTTGAACCTTCTTCTTCTCCCTCGTCTTCAGCTGAAACTTCCTTTAAAGCTTCTTCAGCTTCAAGTGGATCTTCCTTTTCAGCCTCGTGTAATCCTTCTTCACTTTCTTCAGCTTCAGGTGGAACTTCCTTTTCAGCTTCATGTAATCCTTCTTCACTTTTTTCTACATTTTCTTCAAAATATTCCTTTTCGGAATCAATGTTTTCTGATTCTTCTTCCTGTTTTGTAACTATCCATGGACCAGTTTCATCTTCGAGTTTTTCTATAATTTCCTGCTCTTCAGATTCTTCTACATTTTCGTCACTCTGGGACTCTTTGTTATATTCGTCGTCGAATGTTTCTTCTCGTCGCAATGAAGGATTTTCGTGTTCTTCTTCTTTAGAGCTTTCGTCTAAATCCTCTTCACCTCCTGTTTCTTCAGTTTCATCTGTTATCTCTTCATTTGTCGAGTTAAGGATATCCTCTTCGTGGGAACTCGTATCGACACCCACATCATCCGTCTTCTTGTCTATAGGTGGATTAGGTGGCTGTCTATCCCAATAGTCCCTGAGGGCTGCATCTATGTGTAGCCGACACTCTTGATGTGTTGGTGGATTTGGAGCCCTGATATCATTTTTTGTGGGTTCTTGTAAAAATGAAAAAAGAAAGAAAATAATAATGATAATATAGAAATGAGAAAATTATTGAAGATAAAGAAATGTTTAATAAGAACCTTATATCTGCATTGGTATTAACAGCTTACGACTTTCTACTTAGTCTAAAAATCACTATTTGGTGTGATTTACATTCTAAGCTTTAAATTAAATATTATATAATAAATATTGAAAATGTTTTTGACAACGTTCTTGTATATAATTACTTAAAAATCATGATATATATATTTTTCAGTTTATCTAGCTTTTGCCTGTCAAATACTAATCTTATGTAACATATTGGTTAACGCTTTACGCCCAACCTCTGTGGTCCTCGTAATACGTAAAATTTGATAAATGCCAAATAATGCAATGAAAATATGTGCGAGAATATGTCTTTTTATTTTTATGACCTTTTCATTTCTGTGCCACTGATATTAGGTACAATTTTCGGACATTGGATGTATTAGGTAAAATAAATAAAAGGAATTATATCTTATATCATGATAGACCTTACAACGATCCGATTGTCATAAATTCTTCTGAACAACAACTAAAAACTGAAGTTCGCATTTTAGTTCATGGTAGAAATCTGTATTCCAAAATTATAAGAAAATGGGACTTAACTTGACAACGTCCAACTAGGAAGAACACTTAGGTTTAACATTATTAATATTTTTTGAGAACAAAATTTCGTGATTACTTGTATGATAACGTAAGCATGTCTAAAAATAACGAGAATAACAAACAAATGCAGCTACAGTTATGATAAAACTTGAAGACACAACAAAATTATTAAAATCATTGTAAGAGCCACCCTATGTATGGTTAATATTTAAGTGAAACGTATACTTTTTTTACTTGGAAAACAAACGGATGCTTCTATTAGAAAATGTCACCATTTAATTTTAATTTTGACATTCGTTTTGAAAATATATTCACAAAGAAGACAAATACTTTTGTATCTTCTAACTTTCAACCACAAGCGGTTCACTACTATAGAGATGCACGATAGTCAGTTTTTAATTGCAAACAACAAATAAGAAAGTATGGTAAAACAGAAAATATATTCGTAGTCTATATATCAATTAGAGTCATTTTCTTACATCCAAAAGCCTTAAGAAATAATAATATAATATAACAAATAGCATTAATAATTTAATTTTGCAAATCTAACTTGCTAACTTTAATTATTTTCCTTGCTACAATATAACCTTGCACATTTTTCTATTGCATCTATGTCAACTAAAGGCATTGATTGTTATGTGCTAACCTTTTTCACTGTGTGAATTTCATTTTAAATTTGGTTATTATTTTTAAGCATGTTTTTGTATATTATAATAAATGTACTCTAGTGAGTATTGCAAAATATTACGAAGGGTTTGTATGTTACATTAAAATGATTTTGGAGCCTTACCACATCATACCAGTCTAAATAACCATGCACGGTCGTGTTCTCTCTGACGACCATGCATCTTGACAATAAGCCTGCAGTGTAGTTTCCATTATAAAAAGTTCTGTCAAGGGGCTGTCATGCTCAAAGCACACCACTTTTCACCATGGGCTTTCCATAAGCCATCTATTGTACGAGGACAACGGTTTCCTATTGCCCGTTTCAACAGTTTGATCGCACAGAAATCCATAGGTGGCTTGACAGGTATGTATTCATGTGTAATACATGAATATCCGTTTCATTTGCCAATTGCTTAAGGTATGCGACGGTTGAACGGGAGATATGACTGTAAATTCTGTCTTTCTCAACCGGATTCTCACCTGTTACAAGACACCACACTTTTTTTACCACCAAGATGATCCATATCCCTTTGTTTTCCAATGTCATTAACTACGAGAAATATCCCCTTGTTAGAAATTCTAAATCTCCGATCTGAACCCATCTTTATGATTTGAACATACAAATATTTTGTGTCGGGGAGAGTTGTTAACTCTCTTCCCCAAAAGCGATCAATTTTCGGTGACATCAACGAACGTCAAAAAATCTTAAAATGTAGTTCTAATGCATACCGTCCTTACATCGACTGTGACTTGCTGATTCGCACAAATAAAATCGTCTTAATATAATGTGCTCAAACCTCTGTACACATATGTTATAAACTACATATATGTTTCTCACTTATATTATTAATTTCAAAATTGAATTGATTACGCTCCAAAAAATATTTCAGTTGTTAATACAAGGGCAAATTGTATCATTATGTGTAAAGTGATTTTTAGTTATTAAATAATTTATTAAAGTAGATATTCTCCATTTGCAATCTGATGTCCTTAGGCTTCTTTCTTTGTTTGTTTTTGAATTTCCCGCAAAGCTACATGAGGGCTATCTGCGCTAGCCGTCCCAAATTTAGCAGTGTAAGACTAGAGGGAAGGCAACTAGTCATCACCACCCACCGCCAACTCTTGGGCTACTCTTTTACCAACGACTAGTGGGATTGACCGTCACATTATAACGCCCCCACGGCTTAAAGGGTAAGCATGTTTGGTGTGACGGGGATTCGCACCCGCGACCCTCAGATTGCGAGTCGAGCGCCCTAATCGCCTGGCCATGTCGGACCATGTCCTTAGGCAGTACCAATTAAATATAATTTGGATGGATAACGTTAACTATGTTCACTTTTAATCTTTCTTTTTGTTTGATATTAGGAAAACAAAATCGTTTAGTTCTGGCTCTTAGTCTTTCAATCTTTTGGTTATGAATCTTAAATGCCAAAATAAATACACAAAAGACGAGTCCTTAAAAGGAATCAAAATATTTGGAATCTTATTAGAATTGGATCTTATGAGTCACACGAGTATACACAATCCTAATTTAGGTCATAAACTACTGAAAACAAATAATGACGAATCTAAAATTTGAGTTTCTACTTAAGGATATAAAATCAAAAAACTATAAAACTTAAAACTTTTATTTCTGTATAGTCTGATATATCTAAGTAGCTTAATAATGAATAAATCAGATAAAAGATAAATCAGAATGGTTCCTCACTGAAAAATTCTTATGGGAAAATGAATCAATGACCATTTTATTAAGGTGCCCATCTATATCACTTTATAATAGCCTGAACTCGATGAGGTACAGATTAAACAACATGTTGTGTGTGTGTTGTCTAATTGTAGCCAAATCACTGAGGAATATGACTTGTTGTTAGGAAAGGATTACATTAGCCAATATGACTTTCAGTCAGATTTCGATCAAGTGAGTGTTATGGTCAAATATGGCTGAAGCTACTGTAATGCTGTTCTAGTCAATTTTTGACAATATAAATTATCGTCTTGAGAACACACTTATTCAGCAAGAATATAAGAAGGGTTGAATGATCAACAAGAAAGCTCAGGCATGTTATTATTTGTTTGTTTGTAATTAAGCACAAAGCTACACAATAGGCTATCTGTGTTCTGCCCACCACGGATATCGAAACTTGGATTCTAGCGTTGTAAGCCCGCAGACATACTGCTGTGCCACTGGGGAGCGGGTATGTTATTAAGCCTTTTAAAGGAGTTAAATGACTAACCTTTCCAAATTAGAGTGCTCTCCACCCTAATAAATATTACTTCCAATAGCTTGAACTGTAGAAAAACACGAGCAAGGTTAAGTGCTTCATCTGATTTTCTCAATATTTATGACTTACCATTACTACATAAAAAGTGAAAGTAACGTATTAGGTTGCTTCACACACTTCCATTCATTCATTGTTCTCATTTGCACTTTAAGTAATCACCAATGAAGCCGTACTTATCTGTTTGCACCTGCGATAAACATATATAAACATATATGATATCGGCTATCATATTAAAGCTTTTGTAAACTCTAGTTGGTGGTATGGTTGGTTGAATCCTCAACTTTCAGAAAATCGATGGTTTGGGACATAGTCTAACGTATTTTACACTTTACAAGCCTGATTAATAATCGTTTTCTTTGGTCAGTCACTTGCAGTTGGTGGTTACACTTTTTCTTTTCGTTGCCACTATAGGTAGATTTTGATAGCAGACGCATTGGAAAAACCAGTTAAAATAAAAAAGCTGTTTGTGATCATAATATTACTTCTAGACGTCCCTTTGAAAGCTGAAAAGATTCTTGCCCTCATCCATTGTTCATAAAAATCATGACACGAATCTCTCCTTATATTTATATATCGCAAACGATCAACTTACAGATCACAAGGTTAGCCTATTTTGAAAATTATAATATAGAAAGTGAAGATTTACTAATAAAATGGCCAGTCAGTGTACATTATATGAAATAAATAGCAAAGGTAACGAAATATTAGCATTTCTACGGTTGTAATTAAAGTAGTACCGCGTATGAACACCCTCTTTGTCGTCTACTGTTGGTGTGATACGATATGAGCCTCACAAAGAGTTGAGTATTATCTAATAATCAAAGGGCACCACCTGAAACATTTGTGACTTTGACAGAGGTGCGTCATATTGGTTGAATGTGGTGTCTTCGTATATGATATACTACTTTTGTTATATGCTGTATAATTAGAATATGTGTCTTAAACCTAAACAAATTTAACTTTTCATATGTATTAATTTGGTAATTTGAAGTTACAATAACAATAATGTCACAGAGTCATTTCAATTGATCATTAAAGGACCTTATGGGATGGCATGTAGATTAAGTTGCGTCTTAAAGTTGCCATACCATAATCTTGTAAAAATGAACTGTTCCTCAAAGGGTATAACACAAGTGTAAAGGAATAAATGGTAAAAATAAATTTGAGAAGTGGTTGAGGTTTATCCTAATGGTTCCTTGTAGTCCTATCTAGTCCCATGTTTAAAGAAAGAAAACGTAGCAACTAATGACAGATATTTTGTGTAAACTATTTAATAAACTTTTAATATAAAGGCAAAACCATAAATTAATGTACCAGAGAGATTTATATTTTGAATGAACATATAACTAATTTTTGAAGAAAAAAATATATAACAATAAAAATATCAGACCTCTACCTTCTATGTTTTCGTACCAGTT